TATTTTGTTTTTGGTGTATTTTGTTTTGTTTTTAGTGCATTTTGTTTTGTTTTTCGTGTATTTTGTTTGGAAGTCGGTTTTGTTTTTTTTCATAATATAAGGCGAGAAACGAGTAGGTAGTGGGCACCTGAATCCAGCGAAATGGCAAGCGACCGCTGCCCATAAACATTCGCAATTGTAGATGCGTTGCTTCCCTTTATTTGACGGAGGAGGAGACGTACATAAAGAGGACATTTCCCCTGACTATGCGTCTCCTCCACCGTCAAATGCACTTTTCCTTCCCATCCTTTCGTCTTAAAAAAAGGTTTGAAAGGCGATTATTCTGGTTGAATTCTGTTACTAGTTATGGATCTTGGCCTGTGTCAAGGTTAGTCTTATCAAGATACAAACATAAGGAAAATCCCAATTAGTAGCAAGCCAGATTATTATAAAATTTAAATAAAGTATGTAGATAGTTACATAATCCATGACTTGGGAAAAGCATAAAATGATGCTGCTATTCATATCCTACATTAAATTCTAAAATGATTTTATGACCGAAACCGCTTTATTCCCACCCTTCTCCTAACCTATAACTGAGTTATAATAACTATTATGATTTCCTACATACTTTCCAACTTATAATTTAATCGTCAGTAATGTGTACCAAACAATCACAAATAATTGAACCCACACGCCTTTTTGTAGTCCAAGTTTTAGTATACGTAAAGTAATTATTTACTGTATCAAATTAATTTCGTTTGAATTGGCTTTTTCTGAGTAAAACACCAGGATATTTCCTTACTTATTTATTAAGTCTTAACATTTATTAAACTTTATGTCTTCTTTAATTATCGTCCTTATTATAATACGTTATTTTCGCTTCAACATTGCGAATATAATGCGAGTAAAAAATAGCAATAAAATTACAATATTTGCGGGATTTCTGGCTCAGATAATCCTTAACTATGACATGGTAATTTTTCTGTCACTTTTGCGATATTGACTGTTTCGTCGTCTAAAAAGTTGATCAGCGCTTAGAAGGTGAAATGACGTCGGACTTCTTTGAGAGACTTACGGCCAGAAGGGTAACATCTACTGGATACAAAGAGACGAATGAACATATTTAACGCAAACATCAAATTGTAATAAGCGCCTGATGCTTTAGTTCTTCGGTTCGTCTATTGGAAGCGGAGTGTGTAGAGCACGGTGAGCAGGGGCGCAGTGAGGGCTACCGGCGGGGGCGATGCGGCGCAGTGCGTGCCCGGCTCATTGCTGCACGCGGCCACGTCCTGTGCCAGCACCCAGGCGATGCGGCGCAGCACGGTACCAGCCCTAGCCGAGCACGCTCGCGCAGCGTGAGACACGCACGACAGGAACTCGTCACGGGCACTGGATATAATATTTTCATTTACATGAGGCTTCATCATCTCTTGTACTTCTGGACTAGGGAGGTCGACCCCGAGTTTGGGTTAATTTAAAAACGGTACAGGTTTAATCAAAATGTTCTCCGTAAGAACGACGTGTCTGACATATGAAATTCCCAAAATTCAAAAACACATTGGTGAAAACATTGATCACAGGATCTCCAGACTTTAGCGGTTAATCCTCTGCGACATAAAGCTTTATTTAACTATAGTACATGTAAATAAAATTAAAAAATGCTGAAAACAAGGTGTAGTCAAATATCACAATATATTCTTACCAACAAAATTCTGAGTTCCTGTTAAAGTAAACAATTTGTGGAGAGCGCTCTGCAATGTCCCTGACAGTTATTTGCAATCTGTCCACGCAGGCCGACCACTCGGCCGACACCATCGCCAGGCAAGCCGGCTCCTTCAGGTATTCTGTTCAACAGAAGAATACATTGTACAGCACAATAGAATACAGTATACAACCTCAAAGTAAATTTCATACATAAAGGAGAATCACAGTACGACATCAGATTAAAACTGGCCATAACTAATTATCACCCTCGGCAATGAGCTTATAATAACTGTTTTATGCTCGACCTAGAGTTCTATATTGTTATTGATGTATTTACAAAATTGGTACTACCTTTCCTCACTGCAGTTCCATTTGAGCAGAGGTAGCGCATGAGGATCTGAGCGCCGGCTATCTGCCGCTGAATGATCTTCTGTCCGTCTGTCGGCAGACAGCGTTTCATCCACTCATTCATGCACGACATGCCGATATTGTATGCCCTGCAAATACACAAGTAAATGATAGAAATTTTAAATTAAATTTTTGAATATATTTTGTCATGTCTTCTTAAAGTCAAATGCGATCATTTGAAACCCACATTGAGAGGACGGTAAAATATGTCAACGACTGTTTTGTATTGATAGCCTTCTTGGGTTTATTTATAGTACTCAACTGATAAATTTGATCCCGTGTTGAGAGGTTTCTGCAAAAATGTTTCATCCACCATTTTGCGTCGATGGCTATCTTGGTTCATAAACTGTTCTCTGTCCATTCTACAAAAAGTCGTTTAACATATCATGATCGTATCTATACTAATAAGCGAAAATCGAAAACGGCTCAACTCACGCTTTTATTCTCCGGTGACGGCACCGACTAGTTACAGACCCTTCGGGAGCCCTTCTTCAGGGTGAGTAGACCTCGTGACCGCCAGTGCGAGGCGCGACGTGACCGCGAACAAAAGCTAATTAATATTCGCCCTGAAGGTGACCCCCGAAGAGTCTGAAACTAGTCGGTGCCGTCACCGGAGGAATAAAGCGTGACTTGAGCCGTTTTTAATTTTCGCTTAAAGTATTGTCTCACGATAGTTTAAACGATTTAATTCTATACTAATATTACAAAGAGGAAAGATTTGTATTTTTCGATTTTTGTATGTATTTGATTCACGTACAAACTACTGGACCGACTTCAAGAATCCTTTACCATTCGAAAGATAATTTATATGTGAGTAACGAAAGCTATATTTTTTATTACTCTTTAATTTCTCGCGGACGACGTCGCGAGCAACAGCTAGAAGACGATAACTTACGAACAATGCGCGTCAAGCTCTTCTTTGTTTCGCGGCAGACCAATTCTTGTGCGTGGTACTCGGTCTATGCAAACCTGCAACTGGCTGGAGACGCATGTTTCTTCTTCAGGAAGATCTGATCCAGCACTACCTAAACCATTGAATATGGGACTAATTTATTTAAAAAAAATACTACTATGATCTCACGTAAAAAGTCAACGTGATAGAGATATATTAAAAAAAATACTAATGCAGTTAAGATTTCTACATATTTTCCAATTTGTAAAAACCTTAATTTAATCCAAAAACATAATTTGATGTTAAGTTTCACGTCACAGCTCCAAAACATTTTTAAATTTAGTTATTGAGGTGTGGTAATTAATGATAATCTTTTATTTTCTAATTTCAATTACGCGATGAAAATATATTTTCTAACAATTAAGTAAATCTTAAAAGCAATAAAAAAACTATCGATTGAGTACATTACTTTGCATAGTTACATTATTGTTTACGGAAAACATACTGCTGAAACACTTTTCTTGTCCCTGTTTTATCTTAATTTGCAAAAGAACATATTTTTACACGTGCATTTCAGTGGGGAATCCCACTGTTAATTAATATACTAAAAACATTAATGTACTTACTTGTGAGCAACAACAAAACAACAAACAATGTTGCCATATTGACAATAGTCATTGAACTTTTTTCAAACATTCAATTATGTTACGAAACCACAACACTTTTATTAGCGAACCCGAGTTTGAAACTTTTTGTTTTTAATTTCGCGAACTCGCCAGAAGTTAGCTTTCGGCCAGTACGTGTGCCTTGCGCGAGATCCCGTATCTGACTAGAAGGGAGATGAGGCGGGGGTTGGGAGTCATGTCAGAGATTTTATTGTAAAATCTTTGGCGATTCGCAATCTAAATTTAGGAATTGATTTGTACACCATAAGTTGATAAAAGGTATTAATATATGAAAAACAAGGAAGTAATAATTACTCAAAAATTTCGGATTTATAATATGTTACGAGTATTAGATAATTACCAGCTGCAATCCTTGAGGTTGCGCTGATATGCCGTTTGTCTTGAGAATCTTTATTCCTCGCATTGTTGAATGGTGTGCCCTTAGTGGTATTTCCAAACCGCTACGGTTTAAGTTCTTCAAGACACCAATCAAAACTCAAATTTCAACAAGGTCCGTGTAGCCTTGTACTTTTTATTCTGAGCAAGATATTTTACAACCATATACAGAGTTATTCTTAACGGACGGATCAACGGCTTTGTAGAATTAGAGCAGTAGAGTGACAAGGGAAGGGGGCATCTTGCCCCGGGCGCGGCTCTTATGGGGCGACAAATGGTCCGCAAAACAATATTATTTATTTCTGGACACTAAACTAAAATTATAAATAACGACAATACAAATGTAATAGATGTTACTTCGAAAATAAAACAGAACACGAATCTAAACCAAACAGCTCAGCTCAATACAGCTCCTCAAATTTAAAGAAATTCAGTTTTAAGAAAAAATTCAACTTTGTTTTTGATATGTTCTCCTGTGAGTTATTCCAAAAAAGGGATAACGGTACTAAAAGCCCAATTATAAGGCTTGTTAAACAAAAAAATTACCACTGTAAACACATTATTTTAAACGTAAGGGCAGATTTTAGTCGGGAATCCGAATTTTCTGATTATTTTTACAAAAAATTAAATAACTTTAAAACTATAAAAAATTAGGCAACATACATGCTTGCTGCTTAAATTATATTTATTGAATTCCTCTTCCTCCACAAAGCCATTGATCCGTCCGTTAAGAATCGCCCTGTAAATGTAAATAAAACTCTAAACTGATTTCTAAGAAAAAGCGTCCCTTTTCAAATCGCCACTTGTTTCTGTAGATCTTCAATCTAAATCTTCCCCTGCCATGTTGTTGTTTAATATCAAATTCACTACAGTTACTCAAAATATGTAAATACAATCTGACACGGGACAAGATTACTTAAGTTAGTAAGACGTAAAATTAAATTGGAAACACTAAAGTAAGCCGATCCAATCACGCGCTTAGAATGTCCGTATGAGTTATTACAAAAGGCAAAGACACAAATGTAAGATTAAAAATTCTTAATTCATTAGGTATATTATCCAGGGAAATTTAAAAAATTTTAAAGTCCTTTAAATTAGTAACGCTTACGTTAATTTTAATTAAAGCCTTTTAGTAAACTTTATTACAATAAACTTATGGGGTTAATATCTTAATTAACAAGTTAACAAAGTTGTTAAGAGACCTTATCGAGAACGATAACCCTTATAATGTACTAAGAGTATCGATATAAGCATCTAAGTGAATAATATTTCTTAGAAAATACTTATTAAATAAAAGAAACGCAAAAGTGTAATATTTAATTTCTAAACTGAAGTTCAAGCTTTTGTTAAAAATCATTGTTTTCATATAAAAAGGTGGAAAACGAGCAAGCGGCCACCTGAATCCGCCAAAATAGTGAAGTGACGGCTGCACAGAGACATTCACAATAACGGATGTCTAGCCTACCTTTATAATAATCAATGGAGGAGAGAACCCACATAAAGAGGATATTTCTCCTTCCTATGTGTCTTCTACAGTGTCAAATCCACATTCACTTCCCATCGTTTTCTTATAAGAAAAAAGGTGGGAAGGAAAAGGGACTAAAGATGGGCCGCCGACATCACACGACACACGACGAAACATGGTATTGCCTGTCGTCTATGTCGCCGTGGTATTACTTTTTTAAAGCAGCTCAGTAGTGTTTGAGCTACTTTAATACATACAAATCTTTCCTCCTTATAATATTAGTATAGATAGTAAATAAAAATTAATTTTTTAAATCATAAAAAGGCCCAACTTACTGTACTCTCGTCGACATAGGTACATCACCACGATAAGCATTATCCTTTTGTATGTAGAGGGAAAAATAATTTCATACGCTAATATAATAGAGTTATTATAATTTGTTCGTTGAATAAATTTAAATACTAGCTGCCTCGAGATCCAATTTCCACTAATCCTTTAGCCGCAATATTAAATCAGAGCAGCACAGCTAACAAACGTAACTATTAAAAATGTTTACATGTCAAATTTTACTATGATATTTGATGCCCGAAAAGGCGATTAGATATCGTTCGGGCGAACTTTGATGCAGCAGCGTGGATTGGATGCGACTATTCATCGGGTGGAAATAAGTACTAATTTTAGATTAAATTGTATCAAAGTAACTTGTGACATTATCTGAGATTCCTATTAGCTTTTGCATAGAGCAACTGCATGTGAAAGGTAAATAAAATGAAAAAAGTGCACAGGGAGAAATAGTGTATTATCGGCGAAGAAATTCAAACATGTGTGAAGTCAACCAACCCGCAGTGGGCCAGCGTGGTTGACTAAGGCCTAGTCACCCTAATTTAGGGTAGGCTTAGAGCCCCTCGGTGGGGACGTATGGTGAGTTGTTGATGATGATGATGATGATGAAATAGTATACAAATAATTACGGTAAAAGTATCGATGCTGGAGATATTGTCGAACTCAAGGATTAGTGTAGGGATACATATATATCTAGGATATCAGCCCACCACCACCCACGGCCCCACCGACCCTCAGGTCATACGAGCCGAATCGTACATATATACGTATCTGGAATATCAATGCATATCTGCAATTTTAGCACGACGGAACGGGAAACTAAAAGGATGTCGATTACAAATACATAAACACTTTATGAAACAACTGGCTGATTTCCTAAAAAAACATTTCAAACATTCAAGAATAAATCTTTGGTCATCTAATGTCTAATTTAATTAAATACTTATGACGACGGATAAGTCCACACATATATTTGAAGCGTATACTAGTTTTTGAAACTTTGCATATACACATTTATTCAGTTGACTGTAGCACAACAACACTGCTAGGCAAAAGACACTTTTAAGTATATTTATGGAAAAAAATGGAAACAATTGTGATTTACTTATGTTCATATCCGTAAATCCATTTTTACAAGTCTAATAAATTAAGACCATCCTTTCGTAAAAACCTTTGGACCAATGCCAACATATCTGGCGTTGCAATGAACTATTGGTGTAAATAAAATAGTGTTATGATACATTTTTTTAATGAAGATATAGTTCTCTGTGCCCAAAACTACAACGAGTATGTTTAAAATGTTGTTTTTCGTTGTTCTATTCTATCTCGCGGAGTTTCGTCGAATTTTAAAACCTAGACTAAGGCCGAATGATGGTAGAAAGTTCATTATAAAAACATTTCCAAGTATTCGAGTATAGTACCTCTGTACTAAAATATCGCTGAAGTTATGAATAGTCAAGTATTTGTAGGAAATTTATAATATAGAGAATTATTATATCTATGCAAATGTGATAGAGATACGTATGTAACGTAGGAAATAATATGAATGGTTGCCGATAGTACAAAACTAGTAATTTAGTGAAAAAAATAGATTTTACAAGTTTCACTGTAATGTGAACTCGTAGGATGAGAAAATTCACTTAACCGATTCGTAACGACTGCCCTATCTCTTTGGGTTACGATTGATAGATATTTAGACACAATTTTTTTTAATGTAGACGGACGGCGACGGCCATATTAACAATACTTGTAAATTACTTAAAAACAAATAAGCTTAACTCCAGGGCAACTACATATGGATATCGAACGTTCCGTGGTGACAACCAGAAAAATACTGAGCTTGTTAGCGATTAGCGACTGAAGGCCTGCGCCACTCCTTGCCAAGTCTTTTATAAAACTACCCCCACTATTCCTTCTGTTTTGTAATATTTTCCTAACAATATTTATTTAAATAAAGATAAATGGTATTGACTAATAGCACAGACTAACAAATAACTTTTAAGAATGCAGAATAAATCAAAATAGTTAAAAAGCTTAAAATAGTTAAAGCGATATAACATTATCCTGTGGGTTTCTGTACCGCTTATAATATTTCTTTGTTGAATTTTTTCAATTTATGTTTTTGTCCAATAAATAAAAAAAATGTTTAAACGTAGTTGTGTACAGTTGCAGAAATCCACGGTTTTCCATTTTCGGGAAAAATAAGTCTGTTTTCCTTGTTATAAGTAATCAGTTAAGTACAAGTATTTTGCGTAATAATACTAAACGCAATTAGCCCCGTACCACTGACCAAACATTTTTTCATGCAGATTTAAATGCGGCGCCCTATTGGTTGTTTCGCGTCGTCGTTTGCATACTTACAAAACTTTGACACGATTGTAGCTTGTAAGGTTGTTAATAGAATTCCGACTAAACTATGGTAGACACTGTGTCATTTAATATATTACATTTGAAATAAATGTTTTATCAATTGCGTAATAAACGTTAATAAGTATGGGAATTTGAATAAGCATTATATATATTTAGAATACTAGGAATGTGATAACTTTGTACGTCTTTTTAAGGAAATCAGGCGAATTAAAAAAGACGATGATAGACAGTATTATAGTAGACCCTTATTCTCACGGGTGCTTTTTTTACGCACGGCGTAGGCTGATTTTTACTGCGTCGCTATAACATACGTTTTAAAATCACTCTTATTTCAATCGCACAGTATTCAAAATATAACACTGTGAAGTAAAAACCGTGACGTTTTTAAAAATGCGACAGATTTTTATTAACGGAATTGCGCTGTCGTATGAAACCATTTGTTCATTTTGCACGCTTTTTTTAACGCGCTAAAACGGCCTTGCGAATGTAGCCTTAATGTTAATATCGGAGAAGTTTACAAAGTCGTTGTAATAAAAATATGAATTCCTTTATGTGTTATTATTGTATTTCAACCAATGGACGACGATACAGATATTTAAACGTGCGAATTCTTCGACATGTTCTATTACAATAGACGTACTCGTATATGGAACGTGCTCTCAATTCTAACTATCCATCCGCAAAGTTACAGAACTGAATAATAAACAAAATGGTTCTTGCCCAATTTCCTATCCATTCTTTAGCAAGTGTAATACATCAAGGGTTCTGAACAATTTGCTTACTAAGACATATTTCAATTCCTAACAAAAGTACCATGTTACAATAAAAGCCATTATTATTGAGCGATCAGAAAGGATTGAAAAATTATGTTAGAAATACTAAAGCTTGATACATAATTCATGATGTATTGAAGTAACATAGAACATTATTATGCCATATCACAACCTTTTCGTCGTAGATTATAGTCGTTATGCGGCATTTTGTTTTTGCTAGTAAAAAACTGACAACTTTTTACATTGGTTGTTGTGACTGTTGGCACTTAGACATTTAAATTATACATATTATTAACTTTTCCTCGAATAATTTAATTAAATTTTTACGTTTAAGTTTTAGTATTTTAGTGTAAAGCAAATGTACGCTGCTGTAGCAAACGGCAAATGATGACAACGCGTACTCGATAACGAGCGGTATATCATGTTTTTGCGAACGCGGTTTTCATTCAGCTTCGGTTGTGATAAATCTTCTACAGCAATTGTTTCGATCGCAATTAATCACTTTAAAATATTTCGCACTAATGAATTGTTACATTAATAATTCAAGACGTCTTCCAATTTCAAATACTTTTGTATATATAACTAGCTTTCGCCCGCGACTCCGTCCTCGTGGAATTAAGAAAAAACCAGAAGTGTATGTGTGTCTATGTGTATCTATACTATGTATGTATACTATCTATACTATATATGTCTATAAGCCTATGTGTATCTATACCAAATTTCATCGAAATACGTTCAGCCGTTTAGGCTACAAACTCTAAAAAACATCCATCCATCTAAAGCATCACATTTATAATATTAGTGTGATTGAATATTTAGGTTAGACAATACAGTATGAACATTGAGTTCAATGAGGGTACAATGAGTCCATTGTACACGTCTTTCCCAGACACTAGAGATTCCTTGGACGAATTTATGACGATTTGACCCAACTTACCTCTATATAAAGTTGCTTCGTTTGGGCGCTAGAGGGCTCTTAAGTTTGCCAGTTATTTAACATTTGGCAAAATATCTCGAAAATCCCTAAATACATTTATTCACATTGAAATCATGGTTTATGTTTGTTAAACTACACCTTTTTGTGGAACAAACATTTGTCATCAAATCATCAGTGGGCGCGAAAACTCGAACATCAAAACAATTTTTAATCATATTTTTACAATCGTCTTTATATTCGCTGCCAAGTTTTTTTCTGAGATATGTACATATATGTACATCTTGCAGTTAAAATAAGGAAAATAAAACCTTATGCTAAGGGCGTAAGAGTCTTGTTGCACGCAAAATAAAATTGAAACCGAGTGAGAGAGCTCCAAGTGTCCGCTGTGTCCCTTTCTAACAGTGACCTTGAGTTGCCAGAAATCAATCCTTTCGTTGGTAGCAAAAAATAGGCGATTGATGTAATGTAATTAATTAAAAACATTTACTTCTGAAATGTATCTAATTAATAATAATAATTTAATAAAGTCATGTTAAAGCAACTTTATTTCTTGTTACACGCAAAACCTTCTTAACGCAAATATTTTGTGATTGCCGTACAGGTTTTACATTTGTTTGAAATTCGGACACCTGAACTGACAACCCTACATGACATTCCGACTCAGACGTTAATGGCGGAGTCTTTTTTGATTTTGTGATATTTTAAAAGAATTTTAGTTAAAATGGGAAGAATTTGTGTCGTGGATGCTTGCCGAACGAGTATTATGCTTGTAAGTTATGTTTTCACAGGTAATAGTTTTAAACATAATTTGTTGTCGGAGAATAAGGGTGACCATGCATTACTATACAATACTATTTTAAGAACAAATAGCTTAAACACCTATGCATTTATTTAGTCCTTTTTCTATTAAAATAACTTTGTTTTAATTTCAGATTTAAGATATAAGGAATAAGCTAAGGTTGGGGCACAAACTTCACAAGACTCTTTTATTTAGCAATGTCTGATTTAGAATTATATATTTTGTATTGTTTTTAGTAAATACATTAATGATAACAGTAATACATTAAAATCCATCCGAATCAATAATCTGCTGACGTTCGACAACTAAAACAAGATTTTTTAAACACTGTCCTTAAATCATATTTTAACATGGTCACTATCGCAAGAGAGGGATAAAAGGAACAGTTATTGAGGTCTCGCTCGGCGTAAATTTTGCGCAAGACCTCATTCCTGTTCTAGTAGTACTTTCATGGTCCAGTTATGTCCAGATTTAATCACAACGGATATATGGACGGATACGGATACAATTTCGATTTAAAGGAAAACACATGTGTTACGATATACAAAAAAAGAGAAAACATACCAACAAATCACCGAATCATGTGACAAATGAAGGTGTGTATAGGTCTAGAAGGGTCACATGGCACCCGGTAATTTTGTGAACTATAATTATCAGTTAAATGTCAAGGTAATAGTGTCGCAGGTTGCTTTTGGGATATTTTATTGCGGCGAAACAGCGGGGTTAGACAGTAAAAATCAAAAAACGAAACGTTCCATCGTTTCGTCTAAGCGATAGCGTCTCTCGTTTTCCCGAGAAAGCTAGACAGTAACAGACGATAGTCACTTTCGTGCAGACGAAGGTGAATCGTCAAAAAAAACTAATTATTGTCTCTGCTGACGATGACTGTTGTGTCATCTGAATTTGACGTATAAAAATGTAAAATGTTCACGTCAAAAATACAGTTGAGATTCAAAAGTTAGTGAATTGTGTTGGAGTTTAAAATTTAAGAAAAATGAGTAAAAACGCGAGCAGCGAACAAATCGCCGTGATGTCTCTGCTGCCTCCTCTTCAGCAGCAATTGATCCTACATCTGATTTTGGTCATAGTCAAAGTAAATACTAACATACATATGAATTGAAACACTACAGTTTTAGATTGTATCTTTCCTGTTCCTAGCTTTTCCACCAAGCTTTAAACACATAATTTATTGACAGATGCATCGCAGAACAGACGAAGACGCGTTTTAAAATCAACGCCACGGACCTCCTCTATTGAGACGCCGTATGATCGAGTGGCAAAAGAGTTTGCTGCTGCGGAATTACAGCGGTTGAAGTTGGAGGAGGACCGTGACAGGAGGCAGCATGCATTAGAAATAAAAAGGCTTGAGCTGGAAACCTTGCGTGAAACCAATCTTGACGCAAGGGAAGCTGTCAGAGCCCAGATTGATAGGGATACAATAAATATCCAACAAGCATTCCTCAAACTTCTTCAAGACGCCATAACAAAATTTTCTCATTGACATTACTTCCTTTTTATCTGCTGGTGGTTCATTCTACCAATCTGGTTATAATAACGAAGTAACGGCGCGAGCCAAGGTTCGCTAGGGGTTTATCCTCTAAATCCGGTTATAATAAAGAAGTAACGGCGCGAGTCCCATGGAGGGCGACACCTTGGGTTGGCTGAGAAAAGAATGTAGCTTTGATAAGCAGTCTCAAAGGCAAAAACATCTAACATTTACATAGTTTTTATTTGTAACTTGTGTTTTTTATGTTAATTTTGAAATAAAAATGATCGTAAATAAAGTTTATTTTTCATTATCATCTAAAGGGTCTAAGGTTATATTTATATACCATTTAAAGATTTTTCACCTTAGAAGATTAAATTAATATTAATTAATAATTAAAGACATTTAACTAAAGTTGATTCAGTTGATCTCGAAGCAAAACGAGACACCTTTGAGAATCGCCTCAAAAACGAACGATCGTGTCGCTTTAAAAACGATTATGTTTGTCATTTCGTGTTACTGTCTAGGAATTTTAAAGGAAATAGTCGAAAAACGACAGACGAAAGACGAAAGCGACCTTCGTGCGTGTCACTGTCTAAGATTTTAACGCGTGACGTCAGACGTCAGTGTCTCAACCAATCACAATCGAACGATAATCGCTTTCGTTTCGTTCATGTTTTTTACTGTCTAACCCCGCAGGGCAGTCCATTTGAAAATGTATATCATCGTGTGTCCGTTGCTACGTCTGAAATTCATTGGCCATTTTGGAGTTCACAAAATTCCCGGGTGCCATCATGAGCTATATTTCACTATACTCTCTTCATATTTGTTTCAATTCTGTCAAACTGTCAAATGTCAAATGCAAATGTCAAAATAATATATTTCAATTACAGAATGTGGATATATGTTGTGTGTTAAGTTTTGTTTTCAGTGTAATTGCTTTTTCACAATTATTGTAGAATTTGGTCTAGTTATTTTGTTATATGAGTTTCTTTTATTTCCGTGATAACATTTGTGGGACCAACACTATGGGATGTTTGACATGGATTCGAGGTATGACGTCGAACTCTGCGAAAAAATATAAAATAAATATAAATGTCACTACAAAATGTCTTTAAAACGTTTTAAATTACTTTTATGTAAATGCAAAATTTTATAAATCTTTATGTATGCAACAAAGTCCCTTGGTCTGGTATATAAGGCACTTTCTAGTTGAGTTTATGTACCTGTTATGAATGTTGATAACTTTGTTGTATAAGACTGTAGATACAACCGAAGCAATAACTATAGTATCAAATATATATAGGGTATTACTCCAAGATGTGCGTCAAGGCTCCCTCTGAGGTGCCACCACTGTGATAGTTGTCTATTTTTAGAAATTAATTACTGTCTCCACATGCAAGGCTCAATTAACTACAAACTTTGAATTATTTGTATATCTTTTTTTATTATGTCCTTAATGTTTTTAAAAAGATTATAGTGAAAGTTACATTTTAAGAAAAATAGTAGATTAGGAGTTCCTAACAAGTATGTATATATAGATATGAAAAAAATGAGATATTGTGCATCCAATCCATGAATTGTTTTTGTTACGGTTTGTTTGCAGTTAGGGGACAAGATTGATATCTCACTAAGGGTGCACTTAATGCTAAACCTGGCCATTGTTAGAGTTTTCCGTAGTTTCTACTCCATACTTTGACTACTGGATATTACAAATTATTTTACTAGTCTCTTTCATGTTATTGTACAATTTTTAACAATTTATTGGTTACAAAATTTATTTAAATATATGTATTGTTTTAGGTCTTAAAATACAACTACCCTTTAAAGATAAGGAATTAAATAAGATTGCTGCATTCTTCAATGTGATTACATTCTTGTTGACATGCGCTGCTCTAGTGCAGCCCAGTTGGTTTAGGATTAAAGGTCTTCACTGCACACAGAGCCTGTCACCCGCACAGTTCTTCACATTTGATGATGATGATGATGATGATCAGCTGACAATACATCAGAATAAAGATTATGATCCAATCAATAGATCTGACTTTAATGGTAAGTCAAAATTTTTTTTATAAGGGGCAAACGACCAGCAGGAACACTAAGATGTTCATAGACACCCATGAAAATTGCAATATCAGTGGAACTGCAGATGCATTGCCGGCCTTTGAGGACATACATAACATTACTTTGTTTGGAGACAAATCAGTGATATGTATAACTATTGGTCATTTGCAGAAGTTTTGTTCATGTTTTCCGCTCTTAATAACAATGGCTACATTCTGAGTTCTTCTCTCCAGTACTGTCAGTTAACATGTAAGATTATGTGGCCATCAGTAAAGCATCTGACAACGAGTAATATACACATCAAATACTTTGAAGTGATCAGAATTAGAGATTTAGCAATTGATATATGATATAACCTTTTCCAACAAATGGTCAATATTATATTTTTTATATTAAAATGTGGCAAATGAGCAAAAAGCTATCTTAAATTCACTGTAATAGCAAAGTGATTGCTGTCCTTTAACAGCCACAATTATCCTAATTGAATCAACCCAGGAAGGGATGCATGAAAAGGATATTTCCCCAGCCTATATGTACCCTCTGCCTAATGTTCTTCACCTTCCAATCCATCCCTTATGACAAAAGCATGAGAAGGGAAAGAGGGCTATAATTAGTTCGTTTAGCCTAAGTTTAGTCCGGTTTCTGTTCCACCCTTTTCTTAAGAGGAAAGGATGGGAAGGGAAAGTGAATTAAACGGTATAGGACGCATAGAAAGCGAAAATATCCAGTTTATGTACGTCTCCTCTTCTGATGATTAAGGTGAGCTACGCATCTGCAATTACGGATAACTATGGGCCGTTGTCTTCGCCATTTCGGCGGCTGTAAGTGGTCGCTTGCTTGTTTGCCACCTTATAATATTTGAAAAAAAAATTAGGCCTCCTTCTCTTCACAACATTTAGGGCGAAACGTGGAATTTTGCATTTGGAATTATATCATTATTAAATCATTAGCTAATTAGAATGTGAAAGCCATATGATTATGCGAAAAACTATAACGCAATCTATTGTTATCATATTACATGATGTCATACTATTAATTACATAAGTGTGTTGTTATTTTTTTAACATAATGGTGGTTACGCATAAATAGGTTAGGGTGCGGCCACAAAACGTAGGTTAATTAAAATTATGATTCAGAATGTGTCTATTTCTTTTTTATTCTATTTTATTTCAGACTTAGATTTAGACACGTAATTTTGATGTAACATAATACTAAAATTATATGAACACAATAAATAGGTATTAATTTGCTGGCGTAAAGATCCCTGTTCTAAAAATTACCTCTTATTTTCCTTGTAAAAAAAAGCGATAAATAATGAGAATAATATGTTTGTACATGTGTTTCTGATAATTAAAACTAACTATTAAAATTAAATTTGTAAGTATGAAATAATAATTAGTGCTATTTTTCAAGGCCTACCGCCGTGTACGACTCCGGAGATCATAACACTAATGAGGGTGTTAATATTGTTATGCTTCATGGTGTTGTTGTGCTCGTGTATCGGCGTACTGATTAATCTGACCAGTCTTAACAGCAAAGCTATAAAAATGCTGCGAAGGAACGCCATACCGAGCATAATGTGTGTGTTTTGGGTAATCGCCATTGTTGGCGTGTGCTACTACACAACAGTTGTGCTCGGTAACGTCAACAATAGCGACCCGAACACAATACAAGTCGACTACGAGTATGGATTCTACACTATAACAGGAGCAGGTATGGTTTAAATATAACAAATTCTTAACGTATCAATTTTTAATGTATTTACAGTTTTATACTAGTACGGTGGGTAGTTGCAAAAAAGCAAACTAGCCTACAACTTCGCTTTAATACATTTTACTTTCCTGTTGTTAATTTTAGGTTTAATTTACTTAAAAATGCAAATTAACATTTACAGGTGCTCTCGCATTGTTAGCGTCTGCCGCTAATTTGTGGGGAGCGCCGTTGTCTATCGATGAAGACTTGCAAAGGCGGAACTTGATGGAGGATTGGGACGGGTACGAGGCGCACAGTGTGGGGCCCACGCCCGCGGTGCCCGCGCTGCCCCCCTACACGCCCACTGCTGACTACATATCCACATTGCCCTCCAACTTTGCCCCACCAATGCTCGGCACTCAGCAGTATTTCCCCTTCGATGATCTGTCCATTCTACCCCCACCGCCGCCTTACACGCCTTGAGCTTTCACATTAGGTTGAAGTATAGTTTATTCCGATATCGGTCTTTTTGATATAATGCGGTGTTGACGTTATCTTTACGTTTACTAATTACATTTTAAGGCTTGTGACAGAAAGTGTCAATATTGATACACAATTGGAATATGTTTTATTTCATGTCTAGTTTATTCAAATTCTCCTATAGATAGACACTAAGGTATATAGAAGCAATCACGCTTTTGTAATTATATTTATGAAAGTCATCGATTCTCTGAGTACGGTAGAAAAGGAACAAAATAATTGTTAATAATTGCTCAGGTTTATTTTGCATATCTTTGTGATAAAACGCATTGAATTTCTACCATCCAAAGAAACGGGATAAAAACATTGTTTAATACAAGATTGTTTTTAAATAACGCGTTAATTATGAATATGTTTTAAACGCCAAATATAGTCCAAGAAGTAGCAGTATCATAACATTGTCCGTAACACTAGTTTTAACGTGTTCAAGCTATTTTTACCGTTTTGTAAACCGTATTTTTTAGTTATTCAATAGCAATATGCCTTAAAATATGCTACGAATATATCATACTAATGGCTTTTGAAATCCAAAACAATACGACAAAATTATCTGCTTTCTTGTTCACTAACGCCATTAACAGTTGAATACTTAAAATGAGATTAATGCTGTGTTTCTGATGTCTTCATTTATTGCATCTTTACTTAGTGATATTACTATTATGTCGACCTATGTTTCAACGGAATTAAATGCAAGTTACGTACGCATTTCATGAAGTTATCGAACCAATACCACTAACGAATGGTTAAATGTAACTCGGAAACCGGTCATAAATATTGTACCTTCGTCTTAAATGATTAATGGTCGGTTTCCTCGTTTTACTCTTTTGAAACTTAGTTCAACTGATGAAATGCTAGGTAATGACAGAATAAGAAAGCTTTAGCAACCCAGCTTAAGCCATGCTTAAATTTTAAATTCCATTGAAATTCTGTCACCTGTCAGATTGTAAATGACGCTTACGAAATGTTTTAGATTCGTGTCAATATCCCGTAGGTCATATTAGGTGAGGTTTAAATCTTACTTAAGCTATTTAGTAGATTTCACTGAAACGGCTTAACGGATCTGAATGTAATTGGGCAGATATATGTAGATTACTGTTTAGAAAAGCGCATAAAGTTACTAAGTTTTTTTTTTAATTCTGCGCAGACGAAGTCGCGGTCAAAAACTAGTAACTATTAAATAACAATGTGTTATAGTATTTTTAATAATCAGCTGTAATTTTAATATGTAATATATAGAAATGTTATTTTTATGTATATTATGGTTGTGAACTCTGGATTGAATGATTTACGGCGATTTGCCGTTTTAGTGCCTATTTGTGTCAAACAATATATATGTATTAGGGTCTATTTCTATATTTGAGAAATTATATCACAATTGGTTAAGTTTGAAATTTCTTGTAAAATTTTAGAGGCTAGGACAATTTCTTATTAAAACTAACCAAAAAATCCTACCTTGGAGCGCTTCAATCGCTAAAAAATGTCACTTTCTAATTTGCGATAAATTACTTTCATATTTTGTCGCAATATGACGTTTTTTATAATACAGGTCAGGCCATATTTGATTAGTTTGTTATTAACGATTGTGGTGGGTGTAGATAAATCTCGGTGTTACCCAAAAAGCATTGTTTCCTTCTTGAATGCGATGACAATAATTCTTGACAAGTCTCTGTGTTTCTGCCACATTTACTAGCTTTCTAACGATCTAACTAAATTTTAATAAATACGAGATTGTTAACTAGATAACGTAAATAGTGTTAATTTAAGATCAACTCATCACAGATATTACACGATTTTTAATCTATGCGCGATCACAAATATGTGATTTTTATGTTAGTTGTATTGTTTTTGAAAAAATTCCCTTTTATATTTTATCGGTGTAATAGACGCACAAGAATTTTAATGTACTTTGACAGAACTATATTCTTTGACACGCTGCGATATAACTGCGTATAGCTTGTCTATTGGAATATAGCGGTTAGTGATTAAACCGTACATATTCTTTGGTTAACGTTCTGAAATAATATTGTGATAAATAGTATTAAATCGTCACACTATAATTTGTTTTGACCATATTTTGCTTTTGGTTTCTACATTTCTTAACTATGTTTATCTTATTAATTTTAAAATATCTCATTTTCATTTTTAAATTGAAGTTAAAACTCACTCGAATTTTAGTTTTTTATAAGTTTTTAAATTCGAATAAATATCTTTACGTGTTTTACTTATTATAATATAGACTGCGCATAATTTTTCATATTAAATGAGTTCAACAGATCTGAAATACGGAAGTCATTGAATACTGAAATCTACTTTCATCTAGTGGTATTTCATGTTACCAAAAAAAATTAAGTGTTACTAGTATACTGTTAACTATATAGAAATCATAGGCTTAAGAATAGTTATTCCTAGTGAAGCTACTGGGAAGTTTATTTTTACATTTGAAAACAAAAATAGTTTTATTTTTGTGTATGACCAATATGCAATAATACATATCTTTAAAATATTCAAACATTGTTTTCTTTTAACCTTTACCAAATGAGTCATAATGAAGTAAAAAAAATAATTCCGAAATGCATGTCTATGTGGTGAACCTTCCATTCTTTAAAAAAACAAACAATATTTTGTAACAGTTCAGCAATGAGATATTTAGCTGAATTGAAAAACAAAACTTCTTGGGTTTTTTTTTAAATAAAACAAATTATTAAAGTCATAAAAAATGTTAAATACACCAGTACAAAAAGTCTGATAAGCATGTCAGTCTGAATTACATTCTAGACTAGACAGGCTTTAAATAGCATAACAAATATAAGGGGATCATAATTACCCCAGAACTACATTCCACAGGTGCATTAATACATATTGACAATAAAGTCAAAAAAGCACTGGAATGGTTTCATAATTCTTTTGCCATTAGAAAGCTATAATACTCTAAGTAAAATAGGCTGATAACTAGGTTTTTATTTAATTCCACTTAAACAAAGTGTCCATTTTTTATGAAGCTAGCGCTTGATGAAGTCCATGGTTAGATTTTAATTGCTAACAATCTATAATTGTAATATTTATTATATTATTGCTATTACAACTAATATGTCATGACATACTTGAAGTATATTGTCATTCAAACAATATGGCAGCTTGTAATTCCAATATGGAGCTGCTATAAAGTTTGAATCTTACAATAATTGTGTGATATAAAATCTGACTGAAACTGAACATACTTAAATCCAAATTTACACAAAAACTATGCAAGTTTTGAAACAATACTTCTACTGCTAATAATAAACATGTTCTAAAGAATTTATTAAAAGTCAAACTTTTCAAAATGTTAAACTTGACTTTTACATTGGAAGAAACAAATCACACCTATTTCTGGAAAGCCATTTAGGTCACAATAAAACAAAAAGTGGCCACAGAAAAATAATAATGAATTTAAACACCTGCCCATTTTGAAAAGACAACCCTAGAGTAAAAATTTATGAAAACTACAATTTTAGACAACACTGTCATAGGTCACTGCTTTAACACTTATTAAATGAAATTCAGTTTTTGCAATACAGTGGCAATCTGTACAACGGTATTAACAAAGTAAAGTAATAATAATTAATAAATAGTTTATAGGGAGCAGCTTGGATCACTTTTATTGCTTTACAAGAAACACTACTAAAGTTATTTTTATTTATTGGTCTTTGAATGCACTTAAATCAAAATTTGGTTGCTGATTTATTCTCTCCAGGACTAGAGCATTCATTGGCTGACTCAAATCTGTTGAATCATTTGAATTAGTTGCTATATTCAACTCATCTTTAGGTACAAATATTGTGGAGAAATTACTTTGTTGATTGTTAGAATATGATGATGGTAGATTCAAATATTTTACTCTTTCTTTTTCTAAATAATTAACCCGTTCTTTAAGAGTTACATTCTCATCTTTGAGAACTTCAACTTGTAGGACAAGTTGTTCTACTAGTGAATGTAAATTTTGACTGAGAATTTGCAATTCTTCAACAATAGTCTGTTGAGTTTTCTCAATTTTCTTGCCATCTGTAACATCACCAGAATATACTGGATCTTGTAACAGTCTCGATTCAGTGGTAGATGATAAATCTTCATTTGACATTTTGTGAAGTAATGCTTCAGATTCATTTATAGCTCTGTAAATAGCAATTTGTAGTTTAGAATACTCATTGCTCTGTAGTTTGAGATGTGGATCTCTGCTCAACAGTTTTATGTTTTCCATGGCTTTTTTAACGCGAGCATATTGTTCTTTTTTGCTCTTGATTAGATCCTTTTGTTTCAAATGATAACTATGTTGGAGGCTTATAGATTCCAGTGCTGCTGAAGAGGTGGTCGACTTCATAGCGTCTAATAATAATTCAGCTGCATTGTGATGGCATTGCATCGCATCATCGTATCTATTATTGATTAAATGGGCTTCTGCACGACGATGCTGTTGATGCGCCTGAAAAGTATTCTTATTAATTTCTTACCTATCTTTTGTTACATAAATTACAAGCACATAATTAGTTAATACATACCAAGTTGAGAGGATGTGATTCCATGTTTTATTCAATGTCTTGTTTTCATTTTTGTAAAAGATGCCTTAAAAACAAAAGGTTTTTTCAATTACTGCTTTTCCTGTCATTTGCTTGTCATGCTGACGTTGACGAGTGACATTTATTTGACATTAACATCTAAGGCGCAGTTTCGCCTTAAAACATATACAAAACAAAAACTTCTTTTCCTTTTCTTATTAAAATGTATATTGCATACTTTACTAAAATTAACATTAGTTTATGAAAGTAACAATAGCTAATGATAAAATTGCCATAACAGTGCTATTACTTGTTTATCTTAAACGCACTAATCAAAAAGTCCTGTTGAATCAACAATACGATTATGTTTGTAAACATTTATTTTGCAAGTTGAAATTCTTAATTTCCCGTACATTAAGTAAGATTTGACGATGAAACGTATACTCTCTATTAGTCTTACATTAAGCTTAAGTAGTATTATATGTGAAGGGTTACCACAATGCTCAATGGGAGATGTTAAGAGCCTGCTAGAAGGTTGCGACAGATTGACTGGACTCAACGTAACAAGTGTAGGAGGAACAATGGTCAACGATCACAACTGCGATGTTCTTCTTCCTAAACAAGTTTTTAGTGACGAGCCATTATTTCAATACGCATTAGCTGATTCGGTATGTGTTATGTTCAAGGGAAAATAGTATACAAAAAACTAATTATGACATTTATACAAAGTTTTATTGCAGAAAAAATTTTACACAATAATTATGGTAGATCCTGACGCACCACCTCAAACTGAGGGAGAGTTTTTCTTACATATGTTAAAATCTAACATACCTGTAAGTATTTTTACAAAAATCACAGAATCTTAAAAAAATCTTTACCAAAAATAAGACTTAAAATTTTAATATTTCAGGGTCTTGCACTTAGAGCGAAAGAGAGCATTAAAACATTTGGTATTGATTATCGAGGTAAATAATAACATTTACAAAGATTATTTTGTAAATAAAAATAATTAAACCGATTAGCCATACGCTTTAATCTTAACTTAAAATAAAAAATCTAATCATTTGCATATAAGATTTTTGACAATACAAGAAAAAAATAATATGTCCTTTGAATTTTCAGGTTATAAGCCACCAGCGCCACCTCGCGGCACCGGCCCACACCGCTACATAACACTGCTCTATGAACAAGGCGATGGCAACAATTTCCTACCGAGTGTACCGCCATCTCGTAGCCGTTTTACGCTTTCAAATTGGCTACGGGGGAAGAATTTGTGTGGACCTGTTGCTGCCACGCAATTTAGGACTCAATTCTAGATGGCGCTAGTTGTTCTCTTTTTCAGCAATTGTTTGAAAAAAATACGCGCTTTTGGACAAAATGTAAACATGAATTAACGGATTTACATTATTTCTTTTCATTGGTGTTATAACCTATAATTGATACTTGCTATTGCAAGTAACTAACCTATTCTTATACATATGTGTATTTCAAATAATTCCTTTACGTCTCTCTCTCTCATCTTTAGGCACCCCATCTGTAAATATATAAAAAAATGCAATTACTCAATACTTTCTATGTTTATTGCCTTTAGTCGGACGCCGTAAAACAATTTGTTGTAACGTTGTTGTTATTTGTTCATAATTGATGTTAATTAAATACAAATATAATTAATAAGATTGGCGCCAATGTTTACCTTCAACAAGCCTGACAAACAAACTTGAAAATATCCGGCAGCGTGCGGTGTCGGCGTAGGCTGCGCCGGCGCACGCGAGCACCGCCGCCTGCCGGCCCACGCCGCAACCACAGCGCCTAATTTATTTAAACAAATTATTTTCTCATCTTACACTAACTACTGGTTTTATTATCTGATTTATGTTCGCCGCGGTTGACGTTAGATAACTGCGGGCTATTTTACTGTTTACAGCTCTAATTTTACGGACCCACTCACAAATCTCTCTGAACTCAAGATATACATTGGACAGCGACTTTAAAAAGATAGCTGTGATTGATAACCAAATAAATAACAATAAGTTTGCTGTTATGATGTTACAATGTTAGGTTTGTTACTGTCATGTCTTACTATGTATTCATAGTCCGTATATAAGTATAACCAATTACTCACAGATAAATTACTTTTCTAAAAAAGTTCCTTCGGGTTTTCCGTCCAAATATGATGTAGGGGCCTTCAAGAAAAGAGCAAATCAGTATTTATTAGCGTAGAGAGAAGAGTAGCGCGTACCATCTTTCGACCACATCTTCACTCTCAGTCGGTGGGATTGTAGTCAAGCGCTAGGTTTAAAACTTAAAAAAAAAACAATGAAAGAATTTTTAAAATCAGCTCCGTAGTTTTTGAGTTATTTCATTACATACCAAAATACAAATGTTTCCTCTTTGTAATGTTAAGCTTACGCATTGTAATAATCATAAATAATTAAAATTCACGTCGCAAAAGGAGTTCCGAAGGTTATAGTGATTAGGGAAAATTAATAAAAAGATAGTTGCTTTTTCTTCTATACAACATTTCAATAATATTACGTACCATTAGAGTTGAATGGAAAGTTGGAAGGAACGAAAGTCCCCAAAGATTACTGTAGTGTGTTATTTTCATAATAACAAATGTTGTGCATAATCTTTTTATGATTTTTCCATTAAAACTGGATTAGAACAAAACATAATTTAAATTGATCTTGTAAATAATGAGTAATTATGAAATAACTGGTCATAAATAAAGTTCCTGGAACATGAATGTGAATTGCGATGCTGTTGACACTATGATTAATTACGGTTAACCACAAAGCAAATTGATCCCAATATATAAATTATAAATAAACTAGCTTTCGTTCTCGAATCCGTCCGCGTGGAATTAAAAAACAAATAAAAGTAGGTAGCTTATGTGTTCTTCCAGCCTATGCTCTAGATCGATGCCAGATTTCATCCAGATCCATTTAGCCGTTTAGGCTACAAACTCTAACAAACATGCATCCATCCATCTAAACTTTCACATTTATAATATTAGTAAGATGTGTGGTGTGACAAGAGTGGATAAAGTTAAGAATGTGTATATTAGAGGAAGTCTGAAAGTAGCGCCAGTGTTGGAGAAATTGAAAAGCGAAAGGTTAGCGTGTTGTGGACATGTTATGCGACGAGACGATGGAGACATAAACCAGAAAGTATTAAGAATGAATGTGGATGGCTACAAAGAAAGAGGAAGACCGAAGACAGTATGGATAGATTGTGTGAAAGAGTAGTTATATGCTCAAGAAGGGAGTGGATTTAGATATGACGGTTGATAGAGATGTATGGAAGAGCAGCACATGCTGTGCCGACCCTCCGTAAGGGATAAGGGATAAGGGATAAGGGCAAGTTGATGATGATATAAATTGTAAATATATATACTAAACATTTTAGTAGTTGTAAATACATTTTTACATGTTTTAACAGCATCATAAATTACAATAATTTATATTAGACCTTAGCTTCAATAGTAGGTTTATTTTTGTATACTAATTTTTTATTTCTGTACGAAAACCATTATTTGGTACACTTATTCGGCGACGATGAACGACTTCTGTACAAACATAATTTAATTAAAGAATGTAGTAACAAACTTTATTTACAATTCTTGTTTCGTAACACTCAATAGTTATCAATTATTTATTTTAAAAGTGTTGTCGCGAGAGTTTTTTTATTATAAGTCCAATTAAATTCTCTTTTGAAAATTGTAAAGAGGTGATCAAATTCTATTGGTCGGGTTGTCATATTGGAGGTTGAACGTGGCTTTTATCACAGGAAGCTGGTCTATCGTAAATTAATCGACATGGCTCTTCGAAAATACCAAATTATTAAACCGGTTTGGCGTGTGCGCGCTGGGTTGGGCCCAACCACCGGAAATGCTCTCGAGAAATGTAGTCATACAAAAACTATACCCGCATAAACTTACTATTATTAACATAGATCGCTTTAAAACATTTTTAACTATTAAAATCTAAAATAAACTACACATTTTAACTTAATATCTGTGTCAAATTGAGATAATAACAGTTTTATTAATAGTAATTTGTTTCAAGTAAGAGTACTTAAGAAATACTAGGCTTATCTAGATAACTCGCTTAAAAATAAGCCTATTATAAGTAATCCAATTTTAAAAAGGGATAAGTTGACCATTCTCACCTTATCCCTCACAAAAAACGTTCTCATGTACAAGTACTGACCTCACTTTGTAGAAAATTAATTTAACATTGGAAACAGTTTTTTTGAATTACTGCTTTAATTCAAACATGAAGACGACTTGGTGAATTTTAAAAATAGAATCGAATGTTATTTTAAAACATCCAAGATAATTAAAGTTTCGTAGAGGTAGACGTGGGCGAGGTTAGACAGACGACCAGTCTAGACTTGGAGGTTCATAACGTAGTCTATCGACAACTGGATACTATACTTGCATGTCATATTTATAGCAATGACGTGGGACCTTTGAGTCCTGCACCTGAGATATGCAGATTTATGATATCTATGACTCCGATAAAGCGATTTAAAAAATAAACATGTAATTACATTGCTTTTACAAACAATAGGGATTTAGTTATTTGTAATACATTGATTTTGACTAGAATTTAATTTGAATTCTCATGTGTTTTATATTTTTATCAAAAAAAAAAAGTACAGAACTTAAGCAAAATATCGTAAACTATTATGCTTGAATATTAAATGATTTCGACAAATGTCGAAAATGTTTGATAAAATACTAAAACATACTAAGTTTGTTTGAATTCGCTTTTAGATACGAACGTATAGATTTTAAAATATTATTTTTGCATTTGAGTCTAATTGTGTTAGTAAATTAAACTCAAATATAAAATGTTAAAATTATTATGAAATATTCAGTTAAGTGCGAAGTCTCTTGTCAATGTGAAATTCTAACATCATAGATAACTACTAAAATTACGTCTATACTAATAAAGCATGAACACACACTACTTCGTGGCGTAGGATGTCAGGAATCCCAGTATATTTTTGGATAAATCTTTTGAAACGCCTTTCAAAACTCTTAATGAAAAGCCCTACACTTACGAAACGCTTTAGGCTATATGTTTTCTCGCTATTAAACTTAGGGGCTGAATAAATAAAACCTTTATGTGGGAAAGGGACCATTAACTACAAGGTGCCAACATAAAGGAACAATGTTATTATTTATGCATTTGAATTTTGACAGTACACAAATGTAAGCAATAAAATTAAGTAGTTATGATTTTATGCGGATGAAGCCGCACGGGATCAGCAAGTTATAAATACAATTTTACCTGTAGATTTGGGGAATTGTAGAAATAAGCGTACATTTGCAATAGACAAGGCTTACGATACAGACCAGAGAGTTACGGGTCGCTTCCGGTCGCCCACGCCGCCCCCGCCTTGTAACATCAATCACTGAACTAAATACAAACGATTTCCATAATAATATTGCTATATAAAGGCTAATGATTGGAGCTTACTAAGTGGGTCATTTATTACGTCGCACGACAAATTGACTTAGATTTCTGTAGAAAGTGATCGAAAAATTACATCTATACTAATACTGTACAGAGGAAAACTTTGTTTTTTGATTGTAATGAATAGGCTCAAAAACTACTGGGCCCATTTTAAAAATTCATTCACCGTTAGAAAGGTTTTTTCTCTGAGTATATATATTTTTTCACTTCCTTATTATCATTTTTAAATTTCACGCGGACGTGGTCGCGGGCAAAAGCTAGTGTTTCTATAAAGAGTTTAAAAAAGTACTTAAAAACAAATTATCTTTTAGCAGAGGGGTAGATTTTTTTCTAAAGTTTTGAGCCTATATATTCTAGTGAATATTTACCGAATTGTTTATCTAAAAATTAATTGAAGCGTGTTTTATATAAAAAAAAACTCCGTTTACGTAAACCTGACAAATTTGTGTAAGCAAATAAATAATTATAATTAATAATTCGGTTGTCTAGCCGTATTCAATTATAACAATATGCATGTAATTAATTGCTGCCCAAAATGTCGGATAAAGTAAAGTTAAACGAGCTTCTAATGCAAGCATCGCCTAATACAGAACCTGCTGTTTCTCAATGCCTAGTATAATCACTGCACTACGTCATACTTAAATCCGAGCGAAGGCTAACTGGAGGCGTTAACAGTGCCAAAGCAATTCAATTAATTGTTTATTTCCTTTCAAATTCATTGAATGTTAACTCGCAAATAACATACGGAGTATACTTGGGCCGTTCGATGAATGAATACATGTTTGTGAATGGGACGCGTTGCGTACATGCTAAATGCTTATGTCCGCAGTAAAGGTCTTGGCGGCGCAACACCACGGGGCCAGCGGTGGCATCTTCGT